CTAATTTTGAAAGTGCATCCGCCTGGTTGTTTTCTGATCTCGGCACTTGAGTCAGACGAAAATCTTCAAGGGATCCAACCGCCTGTCGTACCGCCTGTAAATACTTGATCATGGCCGGATGGGTTGCTTCGTAATTGCCATTATACTGACTATCAATTGTGAATCGGAACAGGCGTCCATCTTTCGTGCCCCTGCCGCCTTGCACATGCGGATTCCAGCTAGTAAAGCTTCATATTTTGCCTCATTGTTTGAGGCCTGAAAACTAAAGCGTAGAGCATACTCGTACCCGTCGCCCTCTGGCGACTGACATATGACGCCTGCTCCACAACCATTTGATGTAGAGCTTCCATCCACATATACCTTCCAGACTTGGTCTGGATCTCGAGAATCAGGGGGACGAGTCATCTCAACAATAAAGTCAGCAAAGGCTTGCCCCTTCACTGCTTTTCTAGGCTCGAAAGTAACTTCGAGGCTCTGAATTTCTATGGCCCATTTGATCATTCGGCCTGACGACTCCATGGTGGTCATTGGCCGCTTGATAGGTTGATCTGTATACACGACGACTGCATGTGCCAAAAAGTAGGGCTTCAATTTTTTAACAGCCATGAAGAGTGCAAGACCAAATTTCTCCACTAAGGGATACCTCAACTCGGCATTTTTCAGTACATGACTGACAAAGTAGACCGGGAGCTGACAGCCGTCTCTTTTAGCAAGAAGAACAGCGCTTAACGCATGATCAGAGACGGTCAGGTACATGTAAAGTACTTCTTTGGGTAAAGGGCTGACCAGCCTCGGCAAGGAATGCAAGTGAACTTTCAATTTCTTGAAGGCCGCCTCAGCGTCCGGCCCCCATTCAAACCTTGCCTTCTTCTTAATTGCCTGGAAAAAGTATAGGCATTTGTCGCCTGATCGGCTTAGAAATCTTCCCAAGGCCGCCAGAAAACCTGTTAACTTCTGAACCTCTCGGATGGTACGAGGCGACTGCATGTCGATGACCGCCTGCACCTTCTCAGGGTTCGCCTCTATTCCTCTCTGATTGATAAGGAATCCGAGAAATTTCCCAGACTCAACTCCAAAGACACATTTCTTGGGATTGAGCATGACATGGTGCCGCCTGAGTGTGGCGAAAGTTTCTCGGAGGTCCGACAGATGATCTTTCTGAAGTTTAGACTTGACAATCATATCATCAATATATGCCTCGACATTTCTCCCAATCTGATCAAAGAACACAGTGTTTATCATTCGCTGGAAAGTGGCCGGGGCATTCTTAAGACCAAACGGCATGACCGTGTAACAGTATAACCCTTGATCAGTGACGAAGGTCGTCTTCTCCTGATCTTTCTTCCATAAAGGAATTTGATGGAAACCAGAGTAGGCGTCCATAAAGCTCATCAAAGCATGGCAGGCTGTTGAGTCGACCAGGTTATCAATTTTAGGCAGAGGGTAACTGTCTTTGGGGCACGCCTTGTTTAAGTCTGTGTAGTCTACACACATTCGCCAGGTGCCATTCGGCTTTTTAACAAGCACCACATTTGCAACCAAGTCTGGCAAGTAACATTGCCGGATGAACCCTGCATCAAGTAATTTTTTAACTTCGGCGGCTGCCGCCTGACTTCTTTCTTCGCCATGGTTCCGCTTCCTCTGCCTTACCGGCTTCTTTTTCGGATCCACGGCCAGTTTATGTACCGCCAGATCAGGACTGATGCCTGGCATTTCATGGACTTCGAATGCAAAGATGTCCTTGTATTCTTTCAATAGTTTGTGAAAGTCGTCACCCAGGACCCTTAGAGCAGTCGTCCCAACTTTGACTGTTCTGCAAGGACGCGAGTCATCTAAGATCAGGTCCGTATGCTCACCAGCCGGCTGAGGGTGGAATTCATCCGACTGCTCATCTGCCAATGATTTCTATTTTCTGTCTTTTTTTGCGGCCCCCGTCTGGGATGCATTTCTCTTCTTGCCGCCTGCTTCTTGAACAGGCGCACTCTCCTTGACATTGTCAAGGTCTATTTTTCCACCACTCGACCCAGCGGCCATAACAGTGGGCTTGACATCCGAGAGATAGCACTCTCGGGCCATCCTCTGATCTCCCCTTAGGGACCCGACTGTTCCATTATCCCTCTCAAACTTGAGCAACATAAGAGATGGGATTATAACAGCCTTGGAATTATTCAGGGTTGGTCGTCCCAGAATCATGTTGTAGGCCGAGAGTTCTTCTACTACCAGGAACCGGACTACCATGTGTCGTCCTTCCCCTTTTTAACCCAGGCGGATGGGTAAATCCACTCGTCCCACTGGGTGGACGACTCCTCCTCCAAACCCTACTAAAGGGTGAGATGCCGGATGTATGCAATCAGTCTGATATTTTAGTTTCGACAGACATTTGCTACTGATGAGATCTGAGGAGCTTCCGGTATCTATGAGGATTCGGCCAACTCTCTGGTTGGCCACTTTACATTCAATAACGATAGGGTCGTCATGCGGCCCTCCTACCCCTCCTAGATCTTCTTCAGTGATGACAATCTCAGGAAATGAATATTTGGAGGGTCGTTCTTGGTGAACGGAATTTACATCTAGCCGTCTGATATTGTCTTTGTTGCCCCTAATAGTGGGGCCGCCTCCTGAGAAGCCGCCTGCAATGGTGTAGACGACTGCATCATCTGTATCGGAGCTGTCGGCCTGTTGATTCTTTTTGGCCGACTGGTTTTTCGAGGAAGTGTTCCCCGTAGATTTCTTGACATAAGTGTCAAGATCACCTTGCTCAGCCAGGCGGTCTAGATACCGCATGAGACTGATGCATTCATTGGTGTGATGACCAACATCTTCATGATAATCACAGAATTTTTCTTGGTTCCGGTTGTTTGCAGAACCCTTCATGGGGACCGGCTTCTCAATTGAGATCCGTCCCTTGATTTCCTTTAGGATAAATTGGCTATCCTTGTTAAACGCATACTTTGGGGAATATGGTTTGAATTCTTTTTTCTTCTTCTGGGCCGGCTGTTTAGAGGAATCAGCCGCCCAGACCTCTTTTCTCTTCTCATCTTTATGTGACGACTGTTTCTGTCGTCCTTCTCTTTTGTCGGACCTTTTCCCGTCTGACTGTTTTACCGTACTACAAAGATCAGTCGCATGTATATAGGCTTCCGCTTCAATCAAGGCCTCTTGAAGAGTCGCCACCCTCTTTCGGACCAAATCAAATTTGAAGGTCGACCCGTCTTTGAGACCTCTGAAAAAGTCAGTATAGGCTACTTCATCCGTTAACCCTTGAATCTGTATTCTCATCAGGTTAAACCGCCTGATGTAAGAACGAAGCCCCTCCTTCTCGCCCTGCTGAATCGTTCCTAAATCAAGGGTCGTCTTCTTCGCAGGGATGTTCATGGCGAAGTTGGAGGTGAATAAGTAAGCAAGCGTCCTGAAGTTATTTACACAACCAGTCGGCAGGTTGCCGAACCATTGTTGTGCGATTCCTTTGAGAGTCGCTGGGAAACACTTGCACCAAGTGGGATCATCCAACCCTTGAAGGTTCATTCTCAGTATCGTGGTCCGACTGAACTAGAGGGTCGTCCAGGGGACGTCTCTCTTCAGGAGCCGGTACAAACGTGGATGCCATCTCAGAAGTACTCTCCCCACAGACGGCGCCAAAAATGTTTCGGGGTTTTCTGATGTCCTGCGGGAGAGTTACAATTCCGAGACTGGAACCGGACGCCTGTACCTGCAAAACAAACGGATGCTCCGGATGATTGGAGATCCGCCTCCGACGGTCAAGTTAGTACTTGATTAAGGAGTAATTAATGCGGAAATTAAAGTGATTGGGTCTCTCTAGGTGAGAGTGTTTAATGTGTGTAATCTGCGTCATCCCCCTTAATGAGGATTAAGGGAGGTATTTATAACCTCGGGAAACGTGTCAATCCTAGGTTTAGGTTAACCTTGGGCTAATTGGGCTTTCCTCGGAAGTTGGGCCTAGGTGACCGACTTCTCCATTAGGCATGGAGTATGCCACGTGTCATAACATAATAGGTCCAGGGTGGACGAATAAGCGTGTGCCACGTGGCAAGCCCTGAGAGGTCCAACTGGGGGACACTTGGCAGGACCTGATTGGCCCACGTGGCGCATTCCGATTGGTGGGAGCAAAATCCCCTAATCAGGGTGTACAATAAATATTGTACATCCCCTAAATAAATTAAAACTTACTTCGATAAAAAAAATGAAAGGTTACCTGTTTTATTATTAATAAATTTACTCTTTTTACAAGAAATTGAGCTCATTAATTCAATCATAAACATAATATCGTAACACCTTTCTTAAAATTTATTTCTAAAAAATAACTCTGTAAATTATAATAAAACTTTTTATCTTAAATCAGGTTAAAAGTTCATTCCCAAAAAAAAAATTAAAAATAAATAAATAAATAAGTTAAAAGTTACCTAGAATTGGTTAAAACACTTTACAATTTGCCGAATGTACAGATTGAAATACTATTGTACATTAGTCCATTTATATAAGGTGCCCCAAAAAAAAAAAAAAAAAAAAAAAAAAAAACCAAAAAGTTTCTTTCAATTCATTAAATTCCCTGCTTTAGTGCTTTACGCTTATTATCATCATTATTATGAACATTAAGTGAATTCCTGAATCTAGGTGCTTGACTATAATGAAGGAATTATGAATTCACTCCACATTTTTTTTCTTCTGAAAATTAACATTTAAGTTGGTTAGTAATGGTATGACAAAAGATTTATGCAATAGTTGTACAACTAATTATACAAATCCCTGCATTCCTGTAACCCTCTTACAACCCTAGAAAAAGAGAGATTTACCATATATGTAAAAAAAAATATAAAATTTAGGGGAAATTAGGTATGTAATACTTCATTTAAGAGAAGGAAATAATTTCTTTGTTTCTAAAAACTCTTTATATCTGAATAGTGATTATATCACAAAAAAAGTTAAGTCAAAACAGAAAGAATTTGTAGAGATCGAAGAGCGAGTATATTTAATAAATTTACCTTGAAGTTCCCAAGGCTCCATCTTGTTCAAATCAACTTCACGAATAACCTCCATATCAAACTTTTGAAAGCTGATTTTCTTCTTAAGGTAATAGTGTAACAACTCTTCATCCGTAGGGTGAAACCGAAACCCCGGCGGCACACCGCCATTGCTCGAAGATCCCATATAATCTTAGCCTCTTATTCTCACCTGAAGCAATACTATATCAATCAGCCAACCAGCTCAAAAACCGTACTCCTACGCATAAACATGCATAATATTATTGCAACAAACTCTTTTTTTTTTTTTTTTTTTTTTTTTGGGTGCTATCCAATGATTTTTTGGTGCTTTAAAATGCAGTTACATAAGGTTTAATATAAATGGACTTACATACATACGTTAAGTTACTAATATAAGCTAGAAAAAAATAATTAACTAAAATGTTAGGAAATGAATGAAGATGACTTTATTAAAGACAGATAAGAGAAGCGGGGAATAAAGAGTAAGATGTCAACGGGATAGCGTGAAGGAGAAAAAGTTTACGGGGCGGTCTCGACGGCGTCGGCTAGGGGAAGCTGATGAGCTATTACACACACACAGAAAGAGAGAGAAACTCTAGATCTTCATTTCAATTGATGTATTAATTATTTAAATTGTACGTAGGAATTTAATTAATTAATGAAATACGGAGTATTAATTAATTAAATTCCTTTTTATTTACATTGGTTTTTTTAAAATTATTTGTGTTCAAAAGCTTACGTAAATACTACTCCAAAAATTTTGCAACGATTACGATGAGACAACTCGATCGCCATGGATTAATACCATTGTTTCCAATTGTTTTTGGGTATTTTCATGTATTTTACTATTAATTTTCCCTCCCTTTCGCCTACTTATCTTCTTCATGTGCCCTTATGGCGCGTCGCCGGGTTTTGCTTTGACTTTATATTCTTCTCCCTGCATGCATTAGCGTAATAATAGTTTCTATCTTACATTCGGATGTAAATATTTTATATATTTTTCTGCTGTGTGTATTAGCAAGTCGTAAGGAGTAATTAAAGAAAAAAATATTCGATAATTTTACACTCGAGTGTAAGATGGATATCTTGACTACAAGTAGTCCAACTAACCTGGTCAAGATGTCAATCGACTAAAGTTGGGTTATTGGGCCGTTCTAAAGTGACTATATATTATAATTACCGTGTCAATCATATTTTAGGGATTTGGCTATTTATTTGGTGATTAATGAAGTACAATAGTATTTTTTCCATGATTAACAAACTTAAAACATAAACTTAATACATGCAAGATTAATACATGCAACTCTAGGTAACCCCTTGTTTGATTCAAAAAAAAAAAAAAAAAAAGGTAACCCCTTGCTATAATTAACCTTATTTTAGAATGAGTAGTACGTAACTATCTTATGTTTTAATGTATTGGTTAACCGCTAACTGTTTCACTCACTTTCCCATGAAACTTAATTGTGCTTGCGTGATTCCAATCTCTAGGATATGTTATGAATGAAGGAGACAATCAAAATTATCCTTTATCACACTTACTCTAAGATGCACACTCTATGTTTTTCTTTTAATAATTTTGATGTACGTTAATTATATCATGCATTTAAGAATTTTAAAATCCAAAGTGTTGATGAACACTATACACATATGACATATATATACTTCCTATATAGCTAATACTTCCTTGGTTTCTTATTACTTAAAAGGTTACAACACAACTTAAACTACGTGCCAATGAGTTTATCGGATCTCATCTCAGAGTCGGCTAATGTTAGGGGATTTGTTAAACATCGCCCACAAATTACTACATAAAGCCCACAAAATTAATACGATTTGACAGTTTTGCCCCTTTGTCAATTTTCTCTGAAAACGAAAATTTCACTCACCGAAAAATGTGGAGTCGTACGGGGACGCCGGGGGAGGCCGGAGATCCAGGGGACGACGAATGTCATCGGAAAAGACGACTGGCGTCCGGAGGAGCCGCCACCACCGTGGCACCGGCGCCTGGTCGGGACGCCGCCACCATGGCGGTGGCGCCTAGCCATGACGCCTATACCATGGTTGAGGCTTCCAGGCGCCATGACCATGGTACTGGCGTCCCGGCTAGGCGCCACCACCATGGTGGCGGCGTCCCGGCCAGGCGCCGGTTCCAGGGTGGTGGTCCGGCCATTTTTTTTTTTTTTTTTTTTTTTTTTTACATTTGACTTGCTTAAAATTCAAAATAAAAATTTTTTTTCTCAATTTCCAACAAAAAAAAAAACACAATATTACACAAAAAAAAAAGAAAACAAATAATTATCAATTTCCAACAAAAAAAAACATGATATTACACAAAAATAGAAAAAAAAATCTCAATTTCCAACAAAAAAAAATATTTTAGAAAAAAACAAAAAAAAATTAAAAAAAAAATGACAAAACAACCACGGCAAGGTGGTCGGGCGCCTGTCCCAAACGCCACTCACCGTGGCTGGGCGTCCTGCCCAGACGCCAGGCCGGTGGACGTGGCTGCCGCCACGAGCTACCACCACCTTGCCGCCACGAGCCAACCACCTTGCCGCCACGAGCCTCGACATCCCCGTACTTTGATTTTTATTGAGGTTGTGTTTTTTTTTTAAGGTCAAGGGCAATATTGTAACTTCAATATAAGTTTGCGGGCTTTATGTGGAGATTTGCGGGCGATGTTTAGCAATCCACAATGTTAGTATGGTCCAGCTCATTATCAACTCTAGTATTGTCAACATAATAATAAGTCATTGCCTGAGGACCAACTCAACCATCAATTTGACATTGTATAAGAGACAGTATGGCAAGAAGATCACAAGTTCAAATTTTAACCATCATTTTTTAAAGTGAAATATTTACTGTTGGGTATGAGGAGGTCTTGAATGAAATATTTAGCGATATGTTGCCTAGGTATGATGCATCCATGCTTCAAACCCAAAGACTTCTCATGTGAGGGGGCGTGATAGGTCATAGGTATAGTATTAGACAATTACATATCCCGAAGGTTCAACTATTAGTTTAAGATTTTAGTTGAGTTGGTCCTTCTGAAGTCTTGTTATCTCACGTGCTCTAGAAATAAATTGCACAATCGCATTAGGCATGGTTGGACATACAAACGTTAGCGTTTACTTTGGGGTTGATAAGACTAATTAAAGCAATAAACGATCCCGAGAGCATAAAAAAGGGTAAAATGATTATGGGACATTTGTTTCCTCCCAAAGCAATGCTCTGAAAGATAAGTAAACCCATAAACACCCACCTAAAAACGAAACTTCTTGGGATTCTCTATCTCTTGCTTAATTCTGGGATTTCTCCCCTATTATTTTATTTACAATTATTATATGGAATTTCATAAATATTAAATTTAGAGTAGATTAAATAATGGACTTTGATTGAGCTAATTTTTCTTTCGTTTAAAAAGTTATCAAGGGCATTTATAAATTTGAATTGAAAATACATTATTGAATTGTATTTTGATCACCAATATGTTGTTGGAATTTTTTATTTTTTTTTGTTTTTGAGCTAATATTAAATTGGTATGAAAAAAATATTTCATACTTCTTTTGTTTATTTTAGTTGACATGTATTTAATATGTTTCTCTTATTACGTTTGCCAACACACAAATTTAACAATTAAACTCACTAAATATCAATAAGGAAAAATAATAACTTTGATACTACGAAAATACACATTGGAAATATTTCACAAAAGCTATTTAGAGTTATCAAAAGTCAAAATGTGTCAATTAACAAAAAATATTTGCACTAATTACGATACAAATTTTAAACATTAGTATCTCTAATAATTTTACAAAAAGTTGATACTCCCTCCGTGTGTATTTAAGTGCACAAGTTTGATTTTGATACTATTTACATGCACTGTTTTTACTAATAATGTTTGTGCTTTATACATAAGATTAAATAGAGTCATGTGAAACCATTCACTTTGCCTTTAAACTATCGGTCTCCTTTCATTAGCTCTAAAAACCACGGGAAATTATGTGATCGACAAATGGTCATATATAGTTCCAAACAACATCATATGCCTATGAAGATGCATCATCTACAATCTTGATAGTTTTTGACATGTAACCTTTGAAATTGGTTTGAAAGTATGAATTAAAATCTTCAATTTTAGACATCTTTTTAGAACTTCTCAGACGCAGAAAAGAAAAAGCTCAAGGTGCTTCCCGTAGACTTCTCGACAACTTGGGAAGTCATTTTTGCGATTGGAGCCGTCTAATTTGCCTTTCAATAATTGTCAATATGTTTGTTTATGTATACGTCTCCTTTTGTTAGCTCAAGGGCTCAAGGCCACCATAGAGTTTTATATGTCTAACTAATGACTGTATATGATTCCAAACAACAATACATGACCCCCTAATGCATCCTCTACAAAGGCGAGAGTGTTCAACACAAGGTCCTAAAAACCTCTTAAATTGGTTTGAAAGCGTGGATTTCTGGTTTATAACCTTAAATTTTTGATAAATTTTTACTTTTCTTGACCCAAAAGGAAATAGTGCAGGGTGCTCCCCATAAACCCTACAATGCTGAGGGAGGCCATTGTAGTGGTTGGAGCAGTCCACTTCACCATTAAACTATCAATATGGTTGTTTGTGTATACATCTCTTTTCATTACCTCAAGGCCGCCACATGTATAGTTAATAGCCGTGTAAAGTTTCTCACAAAATTGTATGACCGCAAGATGCATTCCCTATAATTTTGTGAGTTTCCGACATCAAGTCCCGGAACCTTTAAAATTACTCCGAAAACGTGGATTCCTTCCAATTTGCTGGAGAAATTTTTAGACTTAAAAATGTTATGCATCGAGATAATTCTCAGGCTTCCCAAGGGTCCTCGAGACGCATACTTGGTGCTCAAAACCATCTCATTCATGCCTTGCCCCACCCTCATTTATCATGTCTTAAGATGCTTTGACTTGGCTTTATGATGCCTTGGCTTGGCCTTGTGTTGCTTTGCCTTCCTAGGCCTTGCAATGTCTTGATTTTGCCTCAAGACAAGACACTACCCTCAATTGTCAAAATAGATATTTTCTAAGAATGAGGTGTTTTACGCCTTAAACTTGTGCACGCCCCATGCCCTGCCCCAAGCCTACAATATGGTCTTGCCTTGGCTGGGAAGCAGCTCCAACACCCCAAGTGACATCACCATCCAACACTCCACACTTGGTCCTTCCGCCTTGGCAGTAAAAGCATGTGCTTCTTAGGAAAGAAAAAAAAAATATGCTTCTTAAAAAACACTTATTAAAAACATTATTATTTTTGTTGTGAATAACTTTCGTACTCCAAATTTTCATACATATGCGCTCACTTGAACTTAATTTAGTTGATTCTGAAATTCAATTGCAAAAGAAATCCTCGCTACAACCAACATTAAAAAATGAAACATAAAAACTTAACACGTTTATACAGAATAAAGACCTTCAAGGCTTCTAAATAGTCACTCATCAAAACAAGAGGCTGCCCGTTTCTTGTTCGATGCATACAAATAATATAATTTGGTCTTTGGCTACCTAAGTTATGTAGTGTAGACAAGCTCTCATAACAGGACCAAAAAAAAAAAGAAA